GATACGCCATAGTACGTCATGTTGAGTCCTCACCGAAGGGGTAGCGCTGGAGTCGACAAACTGGGTTTCCTGCCCCTCAATCTACCCGTGAGAGGGTATACTCCAGTGTTTTTGGGATCGCTCAGAACGCAATGTCTGGTTTATGACTCTCGTCAAAGATGCCATTGCATGGGTTGGCCGTTCGGGCGATGGAGTTGTCCAACGTTGTCGCGACACCTGCCTCTCTGCCACGTCTTGATTCATAAACAAACTAGCAATCGAACCGATCTCTGATGAAATTAACATTATCCCATATGCGTATATCTATTTGGTTGTGAAGGGCAACGGTCCTTAGCAATGGGCCATTTCCCAACTCATGGCCGAAATACACATAAAACATCGCGTTTTTTATCGGTGCTATTTTAAGGGCCAAGATTGTCGTAGTTGAGACCTGTGCAGAACCACGACTTTAATTGTTATGGTAACGACTATCATGTCGTGTGAGCGCAAAGAAAGACTCGTGATCGAACACTGCAATTCCGGCCATGATACCATCAATTGACCGCTCTTGGCTTAGTATGTGATATAGACGAGTGTGATATCTGGTTTAGGTCACGATTAAGAATACAAGAGACGAACAGAATACAAAGCATACTCGGTCAGCAATTTATAACAAGGGGATATCAAAAAAGACTACTACTCGTGTAAGAGTCAGAGTGCTAAGTAAGCTGATGGTGGAAGACCATAAAAAAAGAGGATGAAAATCGAAATGAGGAACAAGTATTAATTAAGCTCAGTCCAAGATATGGTCAACCATATCCACATCATGGTCCACCGTAATCACCACACCATCCTCCACCCCCTCAGGTCGGTAAAGCTGACAGTTCAGATTGGCAGGGTACCGAACTTTTCCCGCCTCGCCTGCCCAATCGAAATCCAATAGCATCACCCCCAAATCTTGCTCGGCTGTATTCTCCTTCCAATTCTTCCGAACCATCACATTGGCACCGCGAAGATCACCATGGACAAATCCTCCACTGTGCAATATCTCGGTGGCTCGTTTTATCTTGGTATGCAGTTGGGTCCTGGTTTCAGTGTCTCTATATACACCAGGCAGCTTCTCCGCTGCATATAATGTCGGAGCAATGCCTTGTTCAGCGCAGTGTTTGTGAGCGGTAGCGGAGTATCGTTGTGTAAATTTTACGAACAACAACCGCCCTGCTGTATTCTTCGCGATAAACATCAGCCTATTGTCGAAGATACGTTTTTGATAAGTAAACTTGATCCGTTGCCGTTGTGAAACCTCTCCTTGACTTTCGTAATAGGTTCTATATGGAAATGACACCGGTTTGATGATATTCTCTTCCACGCTGGGTGGAATAACCAGGTTATTGTAATGAGTTTCTAGTGAGGTGACCGCCCGCCTGGTAGCAGCAAGCGCCCTAGCTACTTGCAAGCGAATATTCCGTTGATGGGGGTTTCCTTGCAACGGGTAAAATGGCGTAAGCACCTCGATCTGAATCTTTTCATTCCAGACAGCGCCGGCAAAACCGATATAAGAGCCTAGAATTACTGTTATCTTTGGGTCTTCTTTGATTGACTCGGATAGCATACCGGCATAATAAATAAGCAAGCAAGGAAACAGACCATTGGAATTTTTGAAGGGTTGGAGCGCTTGGAGGTAATACATTGCAGCTTGGATCAATGGGTCCGGTTTCATCCCTTCTAGTTCTCTCTTCGCCTCAGTGATCACTAAGAAATACCGATTCCTTCGAATATGACCATCAGTGGCAAATGAAGAACCCCCAATGATGCCTGCTTCCAGTGGATACGGTATAAACTCCTCCCAAATCTCTCTGAAACTGAGCGCGCGAGTGGCTTCAGATTCGTGAATTTGGATCATCTTTTCACAAAGTTTGAGCATATGCTGGTTGTCTCGAGCATTAGGGGTACAGCTCTGCACATCCTCTATGAATTCGCCAAAAACTTCATGGAGCAAGGCTAGGGGGATTGATCCCGAATGAGGTGGGCGGCCGTAATCGAAATCTTCTCCGTATTTAGTCTGGAATGTTTGCGTTGTCACAGAAGATGGCGAAATGGCTTGAGGTAGGCCCCTTTGTGGGGCTTGACCGAATTCTGAAGTTTCAGTTAATGGATGCCGTTTGTTGCATAGTGGTTAGCTGGCATAACAAAATGTAGCAATATGAGTATGTGACTTACGCGAAGTAACTAGTACACCAAAGTGGATGATGTGGCAAAAATCAGAGGTCAGCGAAAATCAATATCAAC